ACTTGGATAACTGGAAGACTGGTTATGGTGTACATGCTTACTTGCCTTCCAGATGGGTGTGATCTATCGGTAGATCTTTAATTTGACATTATCAGCAGGTATGAGTTCTGTATCGGCTTACTCTATGTTAGATGGTTTTGTTGGAACAATATTAATTGACTATGAATTCCAGTGGGTTCTCACTTGGGTGAATTATTTGCTCACTGTGTTAAAGGATTTATATGATGTTTGAATTTGGATTATGTATGGCAGTTCTTGCTGTTATTGGAATGACTTCTTGTTCTAGCATCTTCGTATTGGCTGGTTTTGGTTCTTCTTATGTTGCTTTGTTTTTACTTTGTGCAAGAAGCTGCTTAATTGATCAAGTTCCATCTCTCTATTTAAAATGACTATTGTGCTTAACAGCTTTGAGCGATTTTCAGTATTTGCAGCTCTTAATTTAATAGGTTTTCATGAACAATGGTCTTTGATCACAGAATATCCCATTTGGTTTGACCTCTCATAGCAGTCATACTTTCAAAGGGAAGTGTGCATACCAACAACTTCTCATTATAAAAAACAGAGCTTTTAGTTTATTATTGAAGAACTGAGTAAAAAATGTGGCCTTTTTGGTTGATATTCTCTTAAGCGTTGTTTGGGAACAATGTTTGTGATTAGCTTTAGCATTTTGAAACAAATTTTAATTGTGTAAATTATCTTTGAAAACAATAAATCTAAAAGCTTCCATTGCATAGCAATTTCAAAATGCTAAAGCTAAACTCTTGAATTAACATCAAATAGAGCTTTAGTTATTGTATTGCGAGCCGTCCCTCTTGTAGATTCCTTGTATTTAGTCTTTTGAACTACAATTTTCAACATGAATGGCTTGCGCTTCAGGTTTTCACCAATTCTTTTAGCTCTGCCTGGTTGGTTTGTTACGAATGATGTTAAAGGGGTCATTAATGACAATATTTACCTCCAATTAAGTAATGGACTAAAGTAAAAATGCACATTATTTGTTTACTACTTTCTATGAGTATGATGTTTTGGGTAGTATGTGTGATAAAGCACGAGAGATTTAAGTGTTTAAAAGAAACAACCTCTTTGGTTCGTTTCTCACTATGTGGTTGAGTCTTCTGTAGAGATCAAATAAGAGAAACAATGTGAGCCACTTAAAAAAATTCATAACATAAAAATAGACAAATATTAAAGGGGAAACCAAGAAGGAAAATATGTACTTGTTGTTGACCAACAAATATTTATATCACACTATTTCAAAACTACATAGTGCATTCCAAGACGAATATGGAGATTTGTAGGATTATGATTAAGCTGGTCGGGTTACCAAGTTTGTCTTTTTCTCGAGGACGTGTGTTCTATGGGTAGTTAGGTTTTGCAGGGCGTTTGTTTTGTTTCAGTCGGTCGAAAACAACCTTCCTACCTATGTACATCCACTCCAAACTCCACTTGCCAGACTGACTATGTGGGTTGTTGTTTTACTTGGAGAATATCTATGCCTTTCAGAAAGATAAAACGCTTTTCTTAGGCGTTTCAAGCAGCTCGGATTAAATCACTTTCATATCATTTCTAACCAAGTTCCGTTCAAAGTTTTCTTTAACTTGAGACGATCTCGACAGTAGCAGTATCATTTGTGATTCCTTGGCAAGTTTACTGGAAAGGCTATCTAATATTTGTTGGAACCCCCAAACAATGCCCAGTTTCTATGCTTAGTATTCATTACAAAAGTCCCATGTTAATTAGTTTATGGGGCTCTTAGTAGCATTGGAGAAGAATCACAAAATGGGCCTAGTCCCAGTTTGCAGGGACAATGCTTTGCTTGATTTGGTGTTCTAAAACATATTACATTGATCCGTCGCCTTCAAAATGTAATTACTCTTTAATATTTATACATTAATATTAATGTATATGTTATCTAATGTATTATAAATAAATATAAAGCTATTACTCCGTAAATGAGATGTCCAGCTGGGATAATGCATTGGACATGAGAGTCCCATTTTGGCCCCTCAAGTTGGGACTATGCATTGGACATACAACCATTTTATGTCTTAAACTTACTCATTATATGGACTTTAATGATTATATGTATTAGACCTTAAAAAATGAAATCTAACTATGAGTCCATTGAGAATGTATGAGAAGAGGTTCACAAATCACATGTGAATTTTAGGACAACAACACTAATCTTTCACAATTAATCTGTATGATTAAAATTCTATACAAAATACTTATATTAATAATAAAATGATAAATGGCAAAGAAGCTTATAGAATGTTTGATAGTAATTAACTTACGTGTAATGTTATTTTTAAGTATCAATTTAGGGAAACATATAAGCTGAAAACAATTAAAGTGTTTGTGAGTGATTCATTTGTGAATAATTAAAGTGTTTTTGTTGGGATTCCATCCCACACTAGGTTAATTTCACATATGGGTAATTTACCTAAATATGACTAAAACATAATGACTTTCTCAATATAGGACCATATGTTTTTATTTCCCAATGTAGGACCATTGGTTATTATTTAGTTATTATTGAACTAAATGTCCAGCATCACTAGGACATTATTCTTCTCACTAGTCATTATTAAGTCCTATTTAAGGAATAAAAAAGTTTAAGTCCTACATTCATAAATGACTTTTGTTTTAATTCTATTCACTGCAAATTTCACACATTAAAATGGACCATGCTACGGTGTCACTATACATGGTTGCTACTGTTAGTGTTCTGGTGCTTTGTACAAACACACATAGATGATTATCATCGGGCACCCATGAGTATTCATGTGGTGGCACTCTAGCTTTAATCTATTAAAATTGCCACTTCCATATAAAACAATGATGAGACACTATCCATTGCACTTAAGCTTTTGGTTAGAAAGTAAATTTGAATTTAATATGGAAAATTGGTCAAATCTCATCCGATATTTTGTAGAGCTAGCTCAAACCCACTGAAATTCCAACAATTTCAAAAGAAAAAACTTTGTTATAAACTGGTGTTGGATGTGCAAAATTAATTCCACTCAAAACAGAATCAAATAAATTCTTAAAAACACCTCATTATCAACATTCTCTTGAATGGTGTTTGTATATATATGTAAATAAGTATTGATAAAGAATAGAAAATAACATGACAAACAAAGTACATAAAATAAAAATGGCATAAAACAGAAATCAAACTCTTAAATATGCATCCGAGAGCTAAACATCTTCTAAACACAAGAAACAAATAAACGAGAATCACTTTTGGGTGCAAAACAATCAAACAAAATATATCCTTAAGTTCCTGCCACTTTTTTAGATGTTCACATGAATAGTTAGAGAGTTCAAAACCAAGACAAAGACAAAAAAAATATTGTTACAGTCACGCTAAGCGCATGGATAAAACCTCGTCCAAGACAAATACACAAAGAGTTCTGTACTCACTAGAAAACTCAAAACACATTTATTTCATTGCCTCCACACTGATAATGTCAATCACACGGAATTTGTTTTTTATTTTTGAATCAATTACAATCACTAGATTTCATTTTTTAAAAATAGTTGTGTAAAATCAACTTGAAATTACAATATCTCTTAAAAAAGGAATAGAGTAGTTGACCAATCGAAAAGGAACATAAACGTAACACAAATTTAATGTGGTTCACCAACGTTGTGTTGGCTACGTCCACAGATAAGAACAGAGATCAGACTATTATGATGGTGATTCCAAATTACAGAGTTTTGTGTTATACTTCTTTATAAATAGGCACACAGGACGGGCTAGGCTCAGTATGACAATTAAGGCCTAATACAGCAACATAGCATACCGCCGGGCTCGGGGCAACTCTATCCCACGGACCCCATGCAAGGGGCATCACCCCCCTTGAGTCTTGAACCCCCCGACTCGCTGATCGGGCAGCGAGACCCCGTTTGCGTGGCGGCAAACAATACAAATTTAAGACATACTAACATTATCATTTAAGAATGAAGGGAGTGATTAATTTTAATTAACAGAAATATATCAGAACTATTACGTAATACTTAGATTGAAAGAATAGAATATAAAAAAAGTGAATGTATGTATATAGATCAAAACAATAATTAACTATAGCAACGTTTCTCTCACGTCTCCAAAACACATTAGAACGTGACCCATTATGATGTGAGATCACCTATTGTTTATTGCCAATGTAAATAATCTTGGGTTTGAGTTAAGCTGACACATCTCGCTTGGACGGTATTTTTTGGTACCATACATGTACACTCACGTGGCGGCTAGAGTTAAAATGCTTCTAAAATCTATCGAATTTGAACTTTTGGTTTAATTGATTTCTTGACATAATCTTGAAGCATTGTCGATGAGGTGATGACTTCCAATCTTACCGCCACCCACTTTTAAGAAATTAATGTTGACTAAACTTTTCAAGGCATATATAACTACAAGCTTGTACTACAAATTATTTAGAGTATTCATCAGGTTTGATTTTTTAAAATCAAATTAGACAACCTTAATTTATATTAAATTATTGTATATTGCATATTTTTATAATGAAATGCATTTCTGCTAAATATGCCCAAAATAAATTTTATGAAATTGTTTCTTACTAATATCTAAGACTTGGACATAATTTTTATTTAATTGATTAATTAAGTTGATTTGAAAATGTCAAACTGAATAAATACTATTGAAATTAAAGTATGGTGTAATATCTAATGAACATTTTACTTAAATAACACTAAAACATAATTAGTTTCTTTAAATAGCATCATATGTGTTTTTTTCCCAATGTAGCACTTTTAATCGTTATCTATTAGTCATTAATCGTTAACATATTAGTCATTGTTCTTTCTTTTGGACATTATCAAGTGTTATTTAAGAAATAAAACAGTTTAAGTGATATTTAAGGAAATTACTTAAGTTTTAATGTTATTTAGTGCAAATATTTCATATTTAACTTGAAACACCATGTTGATACAATATTAGTAGTTGGAATCATATTGTGGTAGATAATTAGTATGGGGTATGAGCATGAAAACCTATTTCATATTGGTTGAGAGCAAGAAAACACAGAGGAATTGCATATGCCATGGAAAAATCACACCAACCACTCCACAATACAAAACCATCATCTTCAAAACCTCTCCACATTATACTAACCTTTCTCTGCAAAGCAGCTGTTGTGTGCTCCCTCGCACTTGTTTCAGTCTGCGCCATCCCCAAACCTTACTACTCTTCTTCAACCTTCGCCTCCCGCGTGTGCGGTGGGGCCCACGATCCTCCGTCGTGCATGGCGGTCGTGTCCGAGACACTATCATTGTCCTCCGCGTCTCCCGCGGAAACCAACGGCTTAGATTCACTAAAGATGGTCTTACACTCGTCCTTAAAACTAACCAGAGACGCAGTCGAGTTACTGACCACCGTGAACCGTCGGATCAACAACTCCCGAAAAGGCACGGTGGCAGTTGACGACTGTGTCCGGTTAATGGACATGTCCGTGGACAGGATAGTGGACTCATTGGTGGCCCTAGGGAATCTCTCCGCCGCCGAAGCAATTTCCGACGCCCACACGTGGCTCAGTGCCGTGCTAACGAACCACGGCATGTGTTTAGATGGGCTTCAAGGCCCAGCCCGGTCCATAACGGAGCCCATTATAAAAGACTTGATCTCCCGGGCGAGGTCTTCCTTGGCGGTGTTCGTCGCGGTGGCGCAACCTTACAAGCGGGACTATCTCCGGCCACTCGGTGGCGAGTTGCCGTCTTGGATCAAGCCTAAACGCAGGCAGCTTTTGGAAGCCCGGCCAAACGCCGTCAAGGCCGACGTGGTGGTTGCCCTAGACGGCAGCGGTAATTTTAAGACGATCAAAGAGGCGGTGGCGGCCGTACCGGATAATAGCAATAAACGTTTTGTTATATACGTGAAGAGAGGAAAGTACAAAGAAAAGGTGGACATAGGGAGGTTTAAGAAAAACGTGATGCTCGTCGGCGACGGGATGGACGCGACAATCATCACCGGAAACCAGAACGCCGCCGACGGGACACCCACGGTCAATTCTGCTACTGTAGGTAACACAGTAATAACTCAACCATGAACATACATGCCAGTTACTCTTTGAAATTTGGACGGAATAGAACTAAAAGATAAGTAATTTCCTATGTAGAACTTAAATTTTTTTATTTCTTAAATATGACTTAATAATTAGTAGTGAGAAGAATAATGTCCAAGTGATGCTAGACATTTAGTTGAATAATGACTAATAGATAATGATCAATGGTCCTACACTGGGAAATAAAAATATATGGTTCTATATTGAGAAAGTCATTACTCCTTCCGTTCTCAAAAACACTTCCTCTTTCATTTTTTTCACTCCCAACAAAACACTTCCACTTTCTATTAAAAACCATTTTTACTCTTACTTTTTCATACCATACCTAACACATCATACTTTTTCTATAATAATCAATCCATCACATCATACTTTTACCCATCATATCACGGGCAAAATTGGAAGTCAACTATAATTTTATACTTCCTTATTTTGGCTCCAAGTCAAAGTAGGAATTTTTTTCGCAAACGGAAGGAGTATGTTTTAGTCCTATTTAGGTAAATTACCCTACTCTTTAAGCTTCTTTTTTTGGTCTCTAATTTTTTAATTTAATTTAATTTTTCATAGTTTACACTACAATGTACTCCCTCCGTCCCTCTGTATTTGTCCACTTTCATTTTTACACACCATCCAATGCACTTCTTTAATCCATTTTATCTTGTAATTTGTATATTAAAAAAATTATAAAAATTATATATTAATAATCTATATGTTAAGATAAATCAAACAAGATCACACATGACTATATTTAAGCTTACACATTGAGAAAATTTGATAAGTCAAAGTGCTTAGATGAACAGTTTCAAAAGTCAAATGTGGACGAATACAGGGGGACGGAGGGAGTATAATGTTAAAAAACTTATTCAATAATTTCATAATAAATCTCCATTTATAAGTCATTTTACATATTTAGTCCTGACATATCAAATGTTACTAATTTAGTTTTCAATTATTATATCCATATCCATTGCATAAATTCCATGATATGCTGTCATTATGTCACATTGTCATTATGATGTCATCCATGAATGTTTCTGGTTTCGAATTTGGGTTCCACCAGTTAGACAAACAATTCAGAATAGAGTAATGATTTTGATTTTGGGTTCAAAGTTCAAACTCAGCAACAGGTTTAAGGAGTGTGAGGGGAGGGATGAAGCTTAATTGAGGAGAGAATGAAGTGCGAGGAGAGAGAGGAAGCTTCAAACTAAGCGACATTTAGTTGAATGATGACTAATAGATAATGTGACATAATGACAACATATAATGGCATCTCACTGAATTTTTTGATACTATATATTGATAATATGAACATAATATTTGATAAATATGAACTAAATATGAAAAACATAAAGTTATTAAGGACTATTTAGAGGATAATGACTTGGCAAAATTTGACCCGACCCGTTATTAATTCGAAACCCGACCCGAAATTAGCAGATTTTGAACATTGATTTTTCGACTCGATCTCGAAGACCCATTAAAATTTTGGGTCAGAACGGGTCGGGTTTGACTCGACGGGTTATGCACTTAATTGCTTATTTTTATTAGTTATTTAGTTTTATATATTCATTTAAAATATGATATACCCATTAGGCTAATTAAAAGGCGTAAAACCTAATCTAAATCTAGTAACATTCCAGTCTCTCTATCCCTTCTCTCACTTTTCCACCGTTCGTCGATATTAGATTCCGACTCAATCAAAATAGTGAGAAGACCCAAGATCAATATCAAAATGCCGATTTTTAATGTTATTTCACTGTCTTCAGTTGCTCCTGCGTGTAACTCAAGTTTTAATTCTTTTCTTTTGTTTTGGTATGGTGAAAGAATCTCAATTTTTTATAATGTATATATATATATATATTTGAGTATGTTGAAATAATCTTTAATTTTTTCAACAATTGCAATTTTTTGGAATGCTGCAAAAAGGCAATTTTTTTTGGGTATATTGCAATTATCTTTTGGTATGTTGCAAATAGAACTACAAACTTTTATGATTTCGTTCTTTGTTTTGAATAATGATCGGATCACATGATCTCTAAATAGCAAAAATTTTACTCCGTATTTTTTAAATACGTCTCTTAACCCGTTGGGTCAACCCGAATCCGATAACTCTGGGTCATGAACAAGCACTTTTAGATACGAATCCGAAATGACCCGAGAACCCGATTATACCAAACCCGAACCCGACTTGACCGTTTTGTAGCGAGGATATATATTCTAGATAAAATTTAACTTGTTATGGAATATGGAATGGGAATGTTCTAACAATTCGTAAGTTGAATTGGATCAGCTGTGTTCGGGGACGGGTTCATGGCCCAAGACATAAGCTTCCAGAACACGGCCGGCCCACAAAAGAAGCAAGCGGTGGCGCTCCTGCTGGGAGGCGACCGGTCCGTCATCAACCGGTGCAAAATGCACGGGTACCAAGACACCGTCTGGACCCACTCCGGCCGCCAGTTCTACCGCGACTCCTACATCACCGGCACCGTGGACTTCATCTTCGGCAACGCCCCGGCGGTGTTCCAGAACTGCGAGATCGTGTCCCGGAAGCCCCCGCACGGGCAGCCCATCGCGATCACGGCGCAGGGCCGGGAGGACGCGAACGACAACACCGGGATAACGATCCAGAAGTGCAGGGTGATCCCGAGCACGTACTTGGCCCCGTTGAAGAAGGAGTTCAAGGCGTATTTGGGCCGGCCCTGGAAGGAACATTCCAGAACGGTGTTCATGGAGTCCTTTATCGACAACCACATCGACCCGAGCGGGTGGTCCCCCGTTAGGGGTGCCCTTGGGTTGGACACTCTGTTCTACGGGGAGTATATGAACACCGGGCCGGGGGCCAGCACCGCCAAAAGAGTCAAGTGGAAGGGCTATCACGTCCTCACTAAGGCGGCGGAGGCCATGCCCTTCACGGTGGCGCACATGTTCCAAGGGGATTCGTGGTTGAAGGCCACCGGCGTCGCCTTCATTTCCGGACTTTAATTGGATGTTAGTTAAACTATGAAATTAATTCCTCACATATCTGTATAGAGCAATGCTACGTTACAAACAGAATAATCACAAACTCCACAAATTTACTATTTATGTTTTAAATTTTCATTTTAAAATTATTTTAGACTATTTAATTTTCTTTATTAAAGTTCACAAATAGTAAGTTTGTGAAGTTTGTGAAGTTTGAGTTTGTGAACCAAGCATTTCTCATCTGTATAATACTCCTGATAAATTATTGTTTTCGATTTGGACCTAAAATTAAGACCATGCTACATTTACACCAAAATTTGTACCCCATTTGTACACCGCAGTTATGCACAAACATTTTGATGGTTTACACCGACACAAGTGTTGGTGCGTTAAAACAGACACAAAGTGTTGGTCGTTAATAAAAATTAGTTTTACACCGACACAAAATGTAGGTGCAAACTTGCGGTGTACAAATGGGGTACACAAATTTGGGGTACAAGTAGCTTTATCCCTAAAATTATGTATACAAAAGTGTACTTTAAGAACCAATATAATTTCTTTTTGAACTCAAATAGAGTTCATGACAATATAGTTCATTCGTTATTACTTTGGAATAATTTTGAATACTGTGCACCTTCATGTGTGCTAGTTCTATAGGGGCAATTCCAATTATGATTTCAAATTTTGCACAGGTTATGTACACTCAAGGGCGGATCCAAGAATTTAAGAGATTGAGGACAAAAAGAGTAATGGATTCGGAGTCCGTCATTGTTTTCGTTTTTAATTAACGTAAAATTGTAATAAAAAAATTGTCTCAATTAATTAAGCGTTCAAATAATTAAAGAAAAATATAAAAAAATACTCTCTATAATTTTACTTTCTCTGTTATTTTTTACTTTCAAATAATGTTCTAGCCATTTTAATATTTTACTTTTAAATTCTTTTATTTTTAGCTCTAAATAATTCATATTTCTATTTGAAGATTTCTTTTCAATGGGGACAAATTGTTTTTTGTTAAGGGGAATAGTAATTTTAGAATAAATTAAATGCATTAAATGAATAAACAAGAAATTTCGTTGGGTGCAAGTGCCCCTATTGAAAGTAAAGTGGATTCGGTCCTGACATTATAGATCATTATTGTCAATCTGTCTGATCTATGCAAAATTTGAGATCATTGTTTGGTTACTCTTTTGGAGTTACTCGAAATTTTTTTATCGTTACTTATAATGGAGTACCTTTTTTAAGGATTTTAAAGGAGTATTTATTTGTGTGTGTGTGTATGATTCCTAACATGTAAAATAATTATAATTATAATTTTTTTTGAACGATGGGTATTGTAAAGTTAGGGGGTCTCATGGGATACACACTTGACACACTCTCAAAACCGGCCTAAAGTGAATTTACCCTTATTTTGTGTACCTTAACTCGTGTGACACAGCACCTACATCCCTACACGATTTTGGCTCATCGTAGCACAATTGTTAAGCATTTTGGGAACCAGTAGATGAGATTAGATTAACAATTATGTATTCAAGTCCTACAAACAGAGTACCTGGTGTCCCCTAAAAATATGGTCGAAGCCAACAATTTAGGGCGTAGGTCCAAAACACAGACAATGTACTAGCATGGTTTGGTCTTTTACTGACCTCTATTCCCCGGGCCATGCGTGCAATTTATGTTGTAAATTTATTTTTTTAGATGAAATATTGTGAATTAATTTAATTCATATTTAGAACTTTAATTAAATAACTATAAATAATCACTAATTAAATAACTATAATCTAATAAGCATTGCATTTGATATGCAAAACCTAGCTATACTTTGATACTCGTAGACCGTTTTATCTAGTCAAGCTTTTCAGGATCTAGTTCTCATTCAATTTGGACATCTTTGTAGTATATTTAAACATCGACATGTTTCCAGTTCTGAATCATGCACAACAAAAATCGGGATTGACTATTTATTGTGAACCTTTAGGGATCGTAGGAAAATCGGTATTGCGATCTTCCCAAGCGGTACAGGTAACGATTCCGGATTTGGTGTACCAGAACCAACACTTCCTATCCCGAAATTGCTTTTAATTATTTTTCAAAATTGGTAGGTGTTATCTCATTTAATTAGGTTAGTTATTTTACAAGTAAAAGCTACATTTAAATAAGTATTTATCATTTCCCCCCAAAATTCAACTAAAAAATAAAGATTCCAAAATTGAAACGGCAGGCGGACCCTCCCATCGGCGGTTCCAGAACCTGCATGTGTCCATCGTGTGCTAGGTGCGGTGGTATGTGGATAATCGTATTTGTCTCTGTTAGAGTCTATCCCACATCGAAAAGTTGAATAGAAAAGTTATCGGTATATAAGCTTTTGAGTTTAACTAACTAATCGATTTGATTCAATCTTTTAATGTGGTTCAGCCCAAGTGTCTTATTACCCAATCCGGCCAGTTGTCCATACCCATCCTATATTCTATCATGGTATCGGAGCAGGTTTTGGCCCACCTCGTTTGTCAAGGTGTCCGTCTAGATGTTCATTCCTAGCGGCCCGTTTGTCTTTAGCCCCAGTTGTCCGTATGAAGTATGTAACCAACGGCATGTGGCCCGTTTAACACGATTGCTTGTCTGGAAGTCCATACCGAGCGACTCGTGGTCCTTTAGGTGTTGGGGCTAAAAAAGTCAAGGGAATGTGAGTTCATTTGCAAATGGTCAACCGGTTAGATTCAAAATGGCGTGGTTATCCACTTGAGGGGGAGTGTTAGAGTCTATCTCACATCGGAAAGTTGAATAGAAAAGTTATCGGTATATAAGCTCTTGAGTTTAACTAACTAATCGATTGGATTCAATCTTTTAATGCGGTTCAACCCAAGTGTCTTATTACTCAATCCGGCCAGTTGTCCATACCTATCCTAAATTCTATCTGTCTCGTTATTCCTAAAAACTATTTTCCGATCGGTTCTTAAATACTCCATACTTTGTATAATATGTACGTATATTGTTATGGTTTCTAAAATACTCGTAACATTTTTAACATCAATATTTGCAATTGTGTACAAAAATCATATAAGGACTTTGTAGTGCAATGACACTGCTATGACTCTTTCAAATGACAGATCATGTGTTCGATTTCAGATTGAGCATTGAACAATAACTATACAGACTTTGATAGATTGGAAAAGTACGAAGAGATACCATTTTGTAATAAAATTATTATTCCAAAAAATGGTATACAAATAGCAATAAATTATAATGATTTTTCCCTAAATAGTATCACATGTATTTTTTTCCAATGTATCACTTTTAATCATTATCCATTAGTCATTATTCAACTAAATGTTCGCCATCACCGGACTTTACGGATATTATTAAGTGCTATTTAGAGAATAAAATAGTTTTAAATATTACTTAAGAAAATGACTTAATAGCCTTTAGTGCAAATATTTCATAAGAATATCCCCATACCCCATAAATCCGTAGAAAGTAATGAAAAATGTTTGAAATCTTTGTATACCTATGTATACTCCGTATAATATATATGTATATATATGGGCTAAGATATTTAAGGATTTCCCATTGATTGGATCAAAACAAACTCAAAGAATAGCATAAAAGCCATGACAACCTCACATCAACCACTCCTCTTCACAAAGCCTTCTTCTTCTTCTTCTCCTTCTTCTAAACCTCTCCACATTATCTTTCTCTGCTTATTAGCAGCCGTCGCCGGTTCAGTCGTGCTGGTTTCAGTATGGGCCGTCACCAGTTATAACAACTCTACTCCGTCAACCTTCACGGCGAGCCTATGCGGTGGGGCCCACGATCCACCGTCATGCATGGCTGTCGTGTCCGAGGTATTATCGTCCACCGGTCCCACGGCAACTAACGGCTTAGACGTTTTACGCGTCATCTTACACTCTTCCACAGAGCGAATAAGGGACGCCGTCGAGTTGTTGACTAACGTGAACCGTCGGGTCAACGACGAGAAACTAACGACGGCCGTTGAAGTCTGCGTGGAGTTGATGGACGTGTCCGTGGACATGATCTTGGACTCAATGGTCGCCGTCGGGAACATCTCGTCGGCCGGAGCAGTTTCCGACGCCCATACATGGCTGAGCGGTGTCCTGACGAACCTCGACACGTGCTTCGATGGGCTTCGAGGCCCGGCCCGGTCCATAATGGAGCCCATTTTCAATGACTTGATCTCCAAGGCGAGGTCTTCCTTGGCCGTGTTCGTCGCGGTGGCGCCGTCGGAAGTGAATGACGATCTCCGGCCACTCGGCGGAGGCGACTTGCCAGCCTGGGTCAAGCCTTACGACCGGAGGCTTTTGGAAGCCCGGGTGGACGCTGTAACGGCTGACGCGGTGGTGGCACAGGACGGAAGCGGGAAATACCGGACGGTGAAAGAGGCGGTGGCGGCAGTGCCGGATAGTAGCATAAGGCGATTTGTTATATACGTGAAGAGGGGGGCGTACAAAGAAAAGGTGGACATAGGGAAGTTGAAGAAAAATGTGATGTTGGTCGGCGACGGGATGGAGGCCACCATTATCACCGGCAGCTTGAACGTCGCTGATGGAACACCCACCTTCAATTCGGCTACTGTTGGTACGTAACTAGATAAATTTAGAGTAATTTACAACTAAAAAATGACTTTCCGGGACCATATATTTTTATTTCTGAATGTAGGATTTTTGGTCATTATCAAGTAGTCATTATTCAAGTAAATGTTTCTCATTATTGGACATTATTCCTCCCATAAAATCATTATTAAGTCCTATTTAGGGAATAAAAAAGTTTAAGTTTTACATTAGGAAAGTCATTATGTTTTAGTCTTATTTAGTGTAAATTTCACATAAATTTATTGGTATTAAATTTTGTTGTCATAGTAAAGGGTAATTTTCTCGGTATCAAAGTTCATAAGTTTTGATCAAAAAAGTGAAAATGAGAAGACACTTCACTTTTGTGAATTTAATTAAATAATACTAAAACATAATAATTTTTTCGTAAATAGCATTACATGTGTTTTTTTCTAATGTAACACTTTTAGTCATTATTTATTAGTCATTATTCAAATAAATGTTCGTCATCACCGAACATTATGACCATTATTAAGGAAATAAAGCAATTTAAATACTATTTAAGCAAATAACTTAATTTTTAGTGCTATTTAGTACAAATATTTCATAAAAAAACTCTATTGATTGGATATACTATTAAAAATTAAATCAAGTCAAAATTAGAACCATTTATTGTAAGGAACCAATTAGGTCCTGTTTGGTACATGGAATTTAAACTATGGAATTGGAATTGGGGATTTTAATTCCAATTTTGGTGTTTGGTAGTACAAAAATTATGTGGATTTGGAATTGAATTAAATCTCAATTTAATTTCAATTTCACCAATTCATTATACCAAACGGACCCTTAACCCATAATGTTATGTAAATTGGATCAGGTGTGTTGGGGAGCGGGTTCATGGCCCAAGACATTTGGTTCCAAAACTCAGCCGGCCCGCAGAAGCAACAGGCGGTGGCGCTCCTCCTCGGGTCGGACCAATCCGTCATCAACCGCTGCAAAATAGACGGATACCAAGACACGCTCTTCACCTACTCCCTCCGCCAATTCTATCGCGACTCCTACATCACCGGCACCGTCGACTTCATCTTCGGCAACGCGGCGGCGGTCTTCCAAAACTGCCAGATCGTTGCCCGGAAGCCGCCTCACGGCCAGCCCAACGCGATCACGGCCCAAGGCCGGCTCGACCCGAACCAGAACACCGGAATCTCAATCCAGAAGTGCAAAGTGATTCCGAGCCCAGATCTGGCTCCGGTCAAAGCGAGTTTCAGAACGTACTTGGGCCGGCCGTGGAAACAGTACTCGAGGACCGCCTTCTTGGAATCCTACATGGACAACCACATCGATCCAAGCGGGTGGGCACCCTTCAGAGGTACCCTTTGGTTGGACACACTGTCCTACGGCGAGTATATGAACACCGGACCCGGCGCCGGCACCGCCAACAGAGTTAGGTGGAAGGGATATCACGTCCTCACCACCGCCGCTCAGGCGATGCCGTTCACGGTGGCGCGGTTGATCCAAGGGGACTCCTGGTTGAAGACTACTGGAGTGGCCTACATTGCCGGCCTGTAGACAATTTTTATTTTCCTAGTAAGTTCTAAATAAATAAATTAAAGCCCCTATTGTTTCAATTTAAAAATACTCCGTAAAATTCACTGGGGTTATTTTATACCAGTAATATGTTACAGTGTTACCTCTTGTATGGTGTTCAACATCTCTTCATTCTTCATTTGAATAATTTAATTAATTACATTACATCGAAGTTGATACAATGTACATTTCAAAAATTCAAAGTATTTGTCTAGTTTAATCTTTTGGTTCTAAACTCTTACACTAATTACAAAATTTGTTCTCAAACAGACGCATAAACATATTTTTAACTCTATGGTTCTTAAGTGATTTTGTTATACATTCTCTCTAACTTTTGTAGTTAATTAGCTAGCCACACCACTCGGCACTCGATCGGTAAAACTGAGTTGAATTTTTACTTTCGATTTGGTCTTCGAATTTGGGTAAAAACCGAATCCATCCCTATCAAACATTGCACCAATAATAACCCATCATTTCTTTGAGGAGGTTGTCATGGGTGTCCACTATTTATATTATCCAACTTTTTTTCTTCACATTTTTCCCATTCATTTTAATTCCTAATCAACGACTTCTCTCTCTCTAAAGAATAACATGTTAATACAATTTATCTGATCATTTCTTCTGTTTATTCACTTTCTTGATTCCTCGCCATCAACATTCTTTTTTTTAATTATTTATTTACTTCTCAAATTTCTTCATATTATTCCCTGCATGAGAAGTTTTGATATATAAGTCGTCCGTTGTTGAATTGTGATGGTTTTGCATGCATTTTTCAAGTCTTCATTAGAGGGAGGCTATATATCTGTTTGGGCATGATCAAGATCTTAATTTAATGATCGAGAACTGAACTAATAATATGATGGGAACCTTCAAAGCCGGATTCAAATATATCTGCTCTACTATTTTCGGTAATGATATTAATGCCATTCTCATGTATATTCAATTATCAAGAAAAGAAATTGGATGCCCTCATTTATAAGAAAGCGAAACAATGACATGTGTGAAACATTTCGATAGTATCCACGCAAACACAATGCATACAAAAACATGGTGTTTCGTTACAAATCTTGCAACCGAATTGCAATACAAATTGTATCACAAGTTCGGCCTATTGTTAGATCGATATGATTTGAGGCGATCGAAAACGAAAAATGTGTTGTTTTTAATTTGTTGTGTATGTATATTTGCAGTTGTGGAGGAGCCTGAGATTGAGATTGGGTACCCAACAAATGTTAAGCATGTGGCACACATTGGGTGGGATGGTCATCAATCTGGCGCTTCACCAACTTGGGTATGCGTAAACATTAGACGCGCTTAATTTAAAATCTCCATTACTATACTTCTTTTTTCATTCTCCGTCAAAGTATATCTGTTTCATCATATCATATAATTAAAGGGGTTCCATAAAATCTGAATTTTTTTTCTTTTCTTGATTGGAATATTGGATGTGAAAAATGGCAGATGAAGGAGTTCATGACAGGGCCAGATTTTGCTGTTACTTCGATTGGTAAATCAGGTGCGGCTCTTTCTCAATGTCGTAATCACCTCTTCGAACATAATGAAACATTACATTCGTGCATATATAGGATAAAAGAAAACCCCTTTTTAGTACTTGTTTTTTCATGTATTTATTGATTGGGTTGTTTTAAAATACACCATATATATGTTTTTATCAGAACTCCACAAGTCTACCACAAGACAATCTGGAGTCGAGTTAGCTAGCGAAAACCCAGTAAAGGCGATGAATCATCCCAAGAAGCAAAAACGAAAGAAGGGGAAATCGAAATGCCAGAGCACCTCAAGTTCTTCCTGCTCGCCGGGATCATCTTTGGACGCGAAGTCAAAGTCTAAGTTTATCCAGGATGAGATTTAGTATAAGCACGTACGTCGAATCATATTCTCTATACGGAGTATATACGTTTGATTTTGTTGATCATGTGGAGTAATTTGAGCATAATTGCAAGTATTTTGAGAGATCCCATTACACACTTTTCAGTTTCTCAAGTGGGAGTGTAGGGGTGTGATATAATTCCATACTGTTAAGCAGAATATATAATAAATATGAAGTATTGAGTACTTGTGTTAATAATCCATATAATTACTTAAGTTAGTAGTAGTCAATCTAGCAATTGGTATGTTGAGTCATGTTGTATTTCTAAGCCTTGTTGTGTACCGCTTAAGTTGTCTTCTGTCCACAAGGGTGATGCTTGTTTGAATTTAGTAGAGGTGAGCGTGGTTCGGTATGGTTCGGGATGGTTCGGTTTCGGTTTCGGTAAATATTGGGACGAATATATATACTTACCTAGTTTATACTTTGGAATGTACAAAACTTTTTATTTAAAAAAATCGAAAGTACATTCAAATAAAAGTAAGATGAACAATTGGAAAATGAATAATTAAATGCAAAAATACTTATAAAACTTAGTTTAATTTATACTTCATATTTTACAAACAAAAGAGAATGAATGATAATAAAATAATATTTCAAATATTTGTTAAATTTTGTTATATAAATCTACAAAAAATAAAATTCAAATAAATGATTATATAAATAAAAGATTATTTGTAATTCATCTACACTTGAACCAACTTTTCAAAATCAATTTATTTTTTGACGGCACCTCTTGGGCAAATTGTAGGCTAAGCCCAAGTTGTATCCGATCAAATGCACATTCAAATCCAGCCGTACATCCAGTGGGTTAAGTTGATCGACTATAAAAAAGAAGGAAAAAGCATTGAAGAAGATGGAGAAGATCGAGACTAGGCATGGATGAGTGTTAAAGAGGATTAAAAATTTAATTTTAGTCAAACTTTTTAAACTGAAACATAAAGTTAGTTTCAAGGCATAGAGATATATTTTAAACAAATCATATGATCATGTTGGATTGAATCAACCAGTTTAAACCACTATTTTTTATTTAAAATGCTTAACTGCTTAAAGTAAAAACTAAAATTTTTTTCATTGTTCTTTTTGAACCGTCCAAATTTTTTTTCCCGTTTTTTAGTTTGGCAATTTTTTTCAATGAATGTGCATGTATACCTTTACTTTTTAACTATACTATTCACTTTATTTCAACACATCATAAGCAACACATGGAAAGTTTTTATACATTTTAACTTTTTTAATTTTCGTCTCAACTCAACTCAACTCGAGAAAGAAATTTTTAGACGGGGTAATAAATTAAAAGACAATAAATTGTCCACAGCCTTTCTCTTTCTTTACTTTTAAAATGTTTTTCTTACACTCACATAAGGCCAATAAAGGGAGAGAGTATAAATTAGAGTGATGAATTTATAGTAACTCATGTCAATATCACTTTCAATTAGAGTAACTTCATCACAATGTAACATATAATTAAATTCAAAACCCTCTCAACAAAATCTGGAGAGTTATTAACTGGCCTCAGCTCATTGAACAATTTAATTTGAATGGGACTTCGTCATAACAATTAAACATTATTTTGAGATGCAAATGCTTCAACATCTTTTTGTACTCCAAATCCAACTCACAAACAAATAAATTTTTAAAAATATAATAAAACAAATTAATTATGGCACCACAAGCTTGGCATCCGATCTTGGCTTTGGGAGGAGTGTGATTGATAATATCCCACTCGCCGTTGCCGCTATGGCCCCCACTACGAACGCCGGCAAATTCCCTCCTCCGAACATTGCGTCCCATGGCCCACTCAAGAATGATACAATCATCTGCACATTTTCACATAATTTATAATGAGAACTAAAAATTAATGTTAGCAGAATATAATCTTACTTAATTAGAATCATATAAGATACTATTTAATAATCTTAATTAGGTTAATACTACGTAAGAAGGACAAAGAGTATATTTACCTGCGGCACAACAATGGCAAGATTGAGGACACCAAGAGAAAGGCCAGCTGCAAATGGTTACATTTTAATTATGTTAATTATGGATGTTAATTACTTGTTCTTATAAGTAACATATGTTCATCATGGGAAATTATATATGTGCAATTAAGGGTTTGTGGGAGAGTAAGTGAAATGATTAATTACCATTCCCGGAACCGGCATCACTGGAAAAGATGCATGCAAGAGCGAAGGGAATGCTGAAAGTCACGGCAAGAGGAATGCCAAGAATGCAAAATATCAACAAAGCTCCGGCCTTGACGCCGGCGGTCGGGGGGATGACGCTTCCCGATGCGTCGAGCCGCCTCGAGTGCGCCGCGAACTTGGTGACAATGACCGTCATGGACAACCCGAAAGCCAGGATGAAGTTGACCCCACCCCAGAGCTTCTTCACGTCTCCGAGGTGACGTGCGAGGAGCTCCACTCCGATGGACATGAACCCTAGGACCACAGACTGGAGCATGAGGCCGAGTGCCCCAGCACGCACGCCGCTGTCGTACAACCCGGCATCCCCAACCTCGCCACCGTACACCTCCTTTGCCATCCAGTCTGTGTCGTACAAGAGGAACGGGAACCATGCGATCCAGTTGAGGGCGGTGACGAGGAGGAGGATCAACATGGGCTTGGGTAGATTCCTCAGCGCATGGGAGAGCTCCCCGAAGAAAGGCACCTTTGGGGTTTCGTCCTCTTCGTATATGCTCTTCGAGAAGGGGGTTTCTTTGACGCACGTCACGGCCGCGGTGGTGATGGAGAGCAAGAGGAGCGCGGAGATTATGAAACAACTCTTCAGGTTTGCGCAGTATTCGTCGCACGCATCTGTCCGGCTGAAGGGGAAAAACACGTAGAGGCGGGGGTTGGACCCCGCCGCGTAGCCCATAATGTTTCCCACTGCCATGAAGAACGAGAATAGCGTGTTTGCCATTCTCGTTTTTTCAGCACTCCCGTCAGACAGATCTGATAGCAGTGCCCTGCATGGACCCTACATCATTTATAAATCTTTTATTAATAACACATGTATATGCATTTTAAGTGATTTTTCGGCCACTTTTAGTTGACCATTATAATTTCTATCACACATCAAATTTAAATCAAAGTCTGGAAGAATATGAACAAATGCTTGCATGCATGCATGAGTTTACCTGTAACATGTTATTGGCGACGTCGAGTATCCAGAATCCGACGATGAAGATCGAAATGGCCCGAGGTTTGGAGGTTTTGCCGAGGGGGTCGCCGGCAGAGTGGCCGATATCGGCGGCGAATCCGATGAGGAACACGGCGACAATGACGAGTATGGCACCGGAGGCGATAAACGGGCGGCGACGGCCGAACCGGCTCGTGCAATTGTCACTGTAGTAACCGGCGAGGGGCTGAACGATGAGGCCGGAGATGGGGCCGCAGAGCCAGATGAAGGAGGAGTACTTGTGCGGGATTCCGAGCAGCTGCACGTACGGGGTGAGCAGGGACAGCTGTAGGGCCCACCCGAACTGTACTCCGGCCGCCACCGCCGCCACCATCACGATCTTCCACACCGGCGTCTCTGCCTCCGGGTAGCCTTGCTGGACTTGGAAGGGGGAGGATTTGGCATTATTGTTTGAAGATGATGAAGAACTCCCGGTCTCCATTATATAAAAAAGTTTTTTTTTTAAATAATAACTTTCTAGTTTTGCTTTTTAGGCTGCATGCATGCAATCATGCAACGTAACTTATAAACTGATACAAACAAATATTTTTAGAGTTGTTTTTATTTTGGTTTTTTTGTTTGAATAAGAATATTTTATTCTATATATCAGTTGCCCTATAGGATATATGTCGAATGGGATGGAGCCTCTCCAAGGTGTTTGTTTATATACTTTTTTCTATGAATGTAAGAGTTGGAATAGATGGAGGTATTGTAGGTTTTGTGTGGATGAATATGTGTATTTGAAACACAAAGATAGGCTACAAAATTTCTACATGTGACAGTTGTTCCCAGCTGTTTTTGCAGTTATTTTGAACATTTCTGTACGTTTTTTACGGAGGAGACATCTTATTTCCATCTGTACTTTATTTAGTTTCATTACATAACATTACCGAACTCCTATTATACCTAGTATTTTGGCCACTTCTCATTACATTGTGAACTAACTACTCCTTCCGTCCTAAAACTTTCTTCCCATAACACTATTCCAACTTCACGAGAATTTATATTTTTTTTTGTTTTTTTATGGCATATATGATAAAATAAAATATTCTTGTCACCACTTGTTTTGTTGAACTTTTGATGTAGTTTTTAAATATGTATGTTTTATTTTTTATTTCTATACCAATATTTAAATAAAATAGATTGAAAAAACTTGGGATTTTTCTTCGTTTTGCGCAACGGAAAGAAAGTTTTAGGACGGAGGGAGCAGAATTTTACCGGTGCGATGCACGGTCAAACTATACACTCCCTCCGTCTAATTTTTTTTTTGATTTGATTTGGCACGGAGATTAAAGAAAATAAAAAGTGTAAAGACTCTCTTGTTATTGGTGTGATAGAATAAAGTAAATATTGTAGATAAAAGTGGTAGTATAATGGTACATTCATTTAAAAAAATTCCAAAATACGAAACGGGAAAGAAATTTTTGACAGTCCAAAAAAGAGAAAGAAATTAATGTAGTGGGGAGTACATAAGCATGTAATATTCCTATAAGAATATAAAATAGAAATCAAATTAGACATATACCCCATAGTTCCTTCCTATTGGAAATATCTCCTATAATTTAATCTCGCATATAGTTCCTTTGTCTCCCTAAATTTAATATAATTATAGCTTTCAAGAAAATGTATTTATTTTAAGATTCTTTTGATAACATACTATGAGCTTTTTGCCTTGGCTTGGGGTGCGAAGCCCACTTCTCAAGATTCCTTACTCGGTTCGAATTCTTGTTGTGCGTTATTAAATTGAGAAAATATGAACAAATACTATATTATAATTGAATCAATAATACTCAAAAAATTAATTATTTATAGAACATATTACAAAATGTTAATTAAAATTAGAGAGTGAAACCTTTTTTAGTATATCTCGAAATGTAAATGAAGTTTTTTTTTTGTGACAGGGAGTATTCCATAATATTACATATTAATTCTTTCTAGTTTAAGTAAAGTTCATTATTAATACAATAAGAATAGAAATGTACAATTCTAGACATAAACATAATTAGAAGTGTTCCTAGTTCCAAATTCTCGTCTCATAACAACAAAAGTGTTTAGCACTAAGGACACTATCCTTAGATGAAGAGTGACACATTAATCTTCAAGGATGCCTCCTCTTCCATGTTTCCCCTACTTAGAAAGGACATAAGAACGGTACCTACTGTCATACTACAATCAAATATAATGAAAAACACAATTAAGCCCTTGGTGTCTAAAATAAATCAAATTGAATTTAAATATAAAATTACATGTTATTCAACATAACATAACAATGTGCCTCAAATTGTCTTTTTTATTCTCCTCGTGTTCGTTTAGACCACCACCAGGGCCGGGACATCCTTCACGGCACATATAACTAAAGCTAAGTATCTTATATGCCTTATGCATGGCATCAAAACCGAAAAAGTAACCGAGTCACAGTGCAGTAATTGGTAGCTTGCTCAGCACCACGCAGGAGAGGGATGTCGAGCTTCCCAACTTCACGAGTTTCGGACAACCAAACATCAACACGAGTAACACAGAGTGCATCAGGGGCAGGCGTTGGGAGGTCAAGGATTTCGCCTGTGCATATACTAAAAAAGACTCAACCTATTGGCGGAGTAGAGGCACACAAGGCCATTGGTAGTCCCGGCCTCGGGGGACCCTCAGGCGAGGGACAAGAGCACGAGGCTGTTGGCGGTGGTGTTGTTCGGACAGAGGCGAGTAATAGAAGACGAACTCGATCCTCAGAACCAACGGTGGCAATGGCGAGGCCGTGTGAAGGCTCGTGGTTGAGGCTCCGGTGCACCTTGATGAAGTCAGGGGAGCTTATGTAGCTGTGCCATTGCTTACACACGCACTTTGCTCGGCAAAAGTATCAAAATCAATGAATAATTTATGAAATAGTGATTTTATTAATTATAATAACTATATAATTGATTAAATTAAATAATATAAATTTAATAATATAAATTTAATATCTTAAATACATATAAGAAATATATTTTAAATATTTCATTCATACTTTGTATTATATTATAAAATGATATTAAAATCATTTGATATTATAAGAAATGTTACTTTATTATTATTTACATGATTAAAATCATTTATTTTCTTTTTTTATTTACATTAATCATTTGATAAAATAGTGTACTCATATCACCTCTAGTTTTGTAGGCGTTTTGATGTAATTTTTAAATATGTAATTTTTTTTTAATTCTATACTATTTTTTATATAAAATGATTTGAAAATACCTTCAGTCAAACATCGAAAATCGAAAAAGACGATTTAAACTAAGATATACGGATTACCTTTTTTTCTTTTTATAAAAGGAATGGGCGGTTGCGCATCTAAAAGCGTCAGTTTGAGGATTAAGCACCACCCCATTTTTTTTAGAAAAAATATGTTACCTACCACTTTGAGACGGAACTTTTAAGAATTAAGCTATTCGTATACCAAAATTTGTACCCTATTTTGTATCTCAAAACATACATCAACATTTTATGTTTGTGGGATGCTAGTGTGGTGATTTACATTGACAAAAAATGTCAGTGTAAATTTTTTAATTAAACTAACATTTCGTGCCAGTGTGAAACGTTAAAATGACGGAGAATTTCTTTGAGGTACACTTTTTAGAATTTTGTGTCAGTGTGAACCGTCAAAATGTCAGTGTAAACCAGTTTTAAGATTTTAATTAGAATTCTAAATTTTTACTATCACTTGTAAAAAAAAGAAAAGTGGGGTTGAATGAAGTTACGTCATTGAGGTGTTAAGATCATGTTTTTATCCGCTCCAAACTAGAGAATAAAAAAGAAATATTTGCACTAAATAGTACTAAAACTTAAGTCTTTAAATTGTTCACTCCTTAAATAGCACTAAATAAAATTGTTAAGTCCTTGGTGACCTATCCCTAAAGTAGTGTTCACTGTATGTGATTGTTGATTGATCTTTGACCAAACAAAGAAAGCTACCAAACAAAACTTAAGATAAAGGGTGTTGTGTTACACGTTGATTATTATTAAAAACGCATGCATGCGTACGTGGCGTTCTAACCCAAATTTATAAGGTTGCCTACCAACTTTTTCCCACAAAATTTCATGGACACATCAAGTCGTCAATATTAGTCTATCTCAAATTAAATTACAATTTTTTATTAATGAGATGAAACTTTACATTTAAAAAAAATAGTACTCCCTCCGTCCGGGAATAATATTCCCACTTTGACTTTTCTTTATTTTTAAGAAGCATTGACTAAGGGAGTGAATAGACCGAAATACCCTTGCACATTTTCATCAATCTCCAGCCACCAAACAGCACCCACCACCGGCCCGAATCTCCACCGCCGCCAATCTCATCCCCACCGTAGCCCCCACCAGTGCCATCCGCGTCATTATTCCGCCAGCCCAAACGACCATCACCTCAGCCGCCGTCACCACCATCCCTATCATCGCCCATAGCCTCCACCAAGACCATCTATGGGAGAAAGAGAAAAGTACACAGATCTACTGCAGATTTAACCAACCACCATCGCCGCCACAGCTCCACGACCGTCGGCACCCTACCATCGGCGCGCAGCCCTACCTTTCCGCCATTGTGGTATAGATCTAAAAAAAATAAGGAGAAAGAAAAGAAGAAAGAGAGGAAGCAGTGCAGACTAGCCATCGACATCGCCGGCCGCCACCATCCCCGCGTAGATCTAGAAGAATGATGGAGGAGAAACAAGAAGGGAAAGATAAATTAAAGAAGAAAGATGGAGGAGAAACAAAAAATATAGAGAGGAAGAAGAAGAAGATTGAAGAGAGGGAAGAGGAAGGATTCGCAGAGATGGAGAAGAAAAGGAGAGAAGAAAAAGAAAAAATGAAGAGACGAGGAACGGGTGGCGGAGAAAACAGAATGAAAGAGAAAAGAAAAAAGGAAAGGAAGATAAGAAAGAAAAGAAAGGAAGAAAAGAAAGAAAAGAAGGAAGAAAGGGTAATTTTGGAAGAATGGAGAAAAAAATAGTAGAATGGGAACATCATTCCCGGACGGAAAAAAGAGTAGAGTGGGAACATCATTTCCGGACGGAGGGAGTATAAGACTAACTGGTTAGAAAAATTAAGAAGATTTGCATATTAAAAAAGGATGTCATTATATTCACCCTCATTTTGGTGGTAAAATTGTCTATTCATCATAAATGAGATGGATTTAGCCAAAATATGAATAAATTTAGCAACGCCCATTAACAAATCTACGCCGAAAGTTTTGCAAATAAGAGATGAAAAGAATATTTTATTTTATCAAATACTCAATGAAAATATATAAACAAACAAAAACTATCAAGACGTAGACCCCCAAAAAATTGTACTGTACTCGGTAATAAATTTTGGCATGAAAGCATATTTTTAAATGTTATTGACTCAATTATAATGTGATATCCGTTCATAGATATTTTTGGGTAGAAGTGGCAAAATAATCCAAAACGCCTATTGAATCCGCGGAATGCTGGGAACTTGGAGCTTTAGGCGTTCGAGAAAAAAATGGCACTTCGAGATCAACTTTTGTGTTAGTCCTTTGGACCGGAAACAAACGTGTTTTATTGAGTTTTCGGCCTGGCCTGGGAAGCGATTTCCATTAGTGTTAGCATTTTGGATAAAATTTTAATGATGTAAATTAGTTCTAAAAACTGTAATGTTAAAAGCTACCATCGGAGAATCTTTTCAAAATGCTAACACTAATCTTTAATGTTGATGCCAAACGGGGCTGAAAAAAGCTAACCCCGAACGGGCTCTTCAATAAAATACAATACAACTAATTTTTACCCCGTGCTTCGCACGGGCTCGCATATTTTTCTGTAAAATATATCTATAAAATTGTTATTATATTAAAATATAAACTTAGATTAAATAATAAAGTGAATTACAATTAAAGTTGTTCTATCGCATTGCCTATTGATAGAATACATAAATAGTATGCACACATGTACATATGAAAGATAATACATTAATTATTTGTAAATAACTTACATAGACATTCTATTTTTGGAGATATCATGGTATACGTGGGGAGGATGTGTTTATTAATTTCCTCTATGACTCTTATTATTTTACACTTCACTAATCAAATTTATAATTTTGATAGAAAAATTTATTTAAAATTTTAAAGGAAAAGTTTGAATTTTTAATTCGAATTTTAGACAACTTTTTATACACTGAAATTTTACTCTTTATAATCTAAACTTTCATATTTATTACACTTATCATGGGATAATGGTGTAAAAATTTATACAAGCAGTTCTCTTTTAAAAAATTTAATAAAGTTTATATAACCTTTGCCTTTTCAAGATAAAAGCAAGAAATCAAGCAAAAGCATTGATTCAAAAAGCAGTCTACACTGCTGAAATGTTTCATTGATCTCTCAAATCCCCAAATTGGCATATTATAAAATGAATCCCGTTCTATGTCTTTCTAGTAACCCACATATCATCAATCAAATAAGCTTGAACGCGCAGGTATTGACAGTGAGTAAATGGAATCACTAATCAATAAATCTCCCATTATTAAAGCTTCTATAAATATATGTTGCAAACCTTCTACAAATATATGTTATACAACACAACATTGCATAATGATTTTGAGAGAGAGAGAAGGCACATACTCTCAATCCAAGCTTGTAAAAATTTATACAAGCAGTTCTCTTTTAAAAAATTTAATAAAGTTTATATAACCTTTAAAAAAGTAATTAATTAATTATAAGATATTAAAATATATTTTAAAATGATGAAGGACATATTAATATAATAATTAGAATATGAAAAGTATTATAAATAGAAGTTTATGGTAATTAAAACAAATAATCATGAACAATCTTTTAAATAAAAAATAAATTAATAAATACCATGTGGACCAAAAAAATGATGACACTATGCCATGTAGATATAAATTTTGTCATGTCATACGCCACGTGTCTCCACTACAACTAATGAACTCTCATTTACATATACATATACATATATATATATATATATATATATATATATATATATATATATATATATATATATATATATATGATAGGATATATAGGATAGGGTATAGGATTCAATCTCATTAAATTCAATGTTGGCATGTAAATTTATGTTCAAGTTGAAAATACGGAGTAAATTAATATAGACATTTAAAAAATGTACTTGGTATACATTTATTTTCTAAAGTAATACTAATATAAAAAACTGATAATGGTCAATTGAAGGAGAATTAGGAGAATAATAAAGCGGCAAAATCCACCAATCAAGTCTCCGCGCCGGCCACGCCAGTACGCCACCATTTCTTGACGAAATAGTCAAAGCTGGAAAACAATTGGTGTATATGTCTCATTCCCAACCAACCCTCTTTTTCTTACTTTTACTTTCATGTTGTTGGTTAGAACTTGGTAGATTTTAATTTTAAAAATTGTTTTAAAATTAACTAGAATCAAATCAGATTTTAATAAAATCAGGGGATCTCATTAGACAAAGAGAACACTTTCTTAAATGTCCACTTTTTGAAATATCTCTAATTAAAATACACCTAAACACATTACTAGCTTGTTCGTATTTAATTGCAACAACGCTAATGAGGTGTTTAGGTGTATTTTTCAGAATTTACAACTAATTGCAAAGAGTGGATACTTCACTCGCTATCATATAACTTTACCTACCCATTTTTTCCTAAAAAAGTATTATTTCTAAACAAATTTTAAATTTTGACTTTTTAAGTTTTTGAGAGAGTCAAGAGGGGGTTTTAGATTTCGTGAGGCCTTATAAAAGTGGACGATGACATGGAGTTGGTTATCCTTTGGTTATTGGTGACCTACTACTTATTTCAGCAGCGGACGTTTTAGAGGTTTAAAATAAGATTTGTGAGCTTTAATTAGTGCTCGATAGATACATACATAGATCAATTATGGCAGGTGATGCACAAGAACGTGGATGGGTACTTACCGTTATTATGGCGGCGGTGGTGCTCTTGCCGCTTCCGGCGACATGTCGTCCCATCAATCCCATAACGCTTAACGAAGAACCGCGGCCGTCTCCATTCCCGCCTGGCTTCCTTTTTGGCACTGCTTCCTCTTCTTATCAGGTAACTGGATCCACACGTCTTGTTCTAGCTTCTTTTTTGCTTTGTTTTCCATTGATTCCACTCACCCACCCTGCCATTTCATACGGAGTATACAAGTGTTTGAAACTTAAATGCTTCTGGTTTAATGGTTTTCAGTATGAAGGAGGTTACATGGCTGATGGTAAAGGTCTCAGTAACTGGGACGTTTTCACCCATAATAAATCTGGTAAAATAAATACTTATCCACTCCATCTATATTTCATGCATATTTTTCAGCTTCACATTCAATTTATATTTTTTTTTTAAAAAAAATATGAAGTCTAAAATATTAAAATGTAATCTATACGTTGTAGTTGTCTATGTGTGTCTGTGTGTGTACTAAAGATTCATTCTAAATTACAGACAACATAGAAGATGGAAGCAATGGAGATGTTGCAGATGATCAGTACCACCTATTTCAGGTAATTGATTAATCTCTTCTTCAGGACACTAAGTTTGATTATATTTAATCCTTTTTTTTCAAAAAAAAATATATTCAATTTTTTCGTATAAAAAGTATCTCAAAAAAAGTTAAATACTCCGTATATCAAATTTAGTTAGACCAACAAATAAGATTTGAACAAATAATTGTATTTGATCCAATAGTTGAAATTTACAAAAAAGAATGTCTTTGTTGGCATATATGGAGTAGAATAATAGAGCCCAATAATGGACTGGATTGTCTCCTAAAAAGGACTGTCTCTATCGCTGTCTACCTCAACTAAACCCCTTACCTAAATCCATAATACCTCAACTAAGTATTGTAGCATTCCATGATTTGGTACGCTTCCTTGTTCTTGGACCGACCACCTGGTCTGGTCTGGGTTTAATAACACTTGTTTGCATCTCATCTCTACCTACTGTCAAATAGAGTAGATAAGAATTATTGCAATCAAGTAGGGTAAAGTCTACGTACATACACCCTTCTCAAACCCAACCCTACTTGTTGCAAGTGCGTAGAATTATACATGTTTCTAAGACTTCTTTTTAATATTACAGGAAGACATAGATATCATGGCTTTTCTTGGTTTAAACAGTTACAAATTCTCAATTTCATGGGCTCGAATACTACCAAGTATGTATTTCTATTTACAACTTCTGCCATGAAATCAGGGAGAAGTGGAATCAATATAATCCATGTGAAGTTGTGAACAACAAGCATTAAATCATTGTATATCACAGTTTTTGTGGTGTACCTATACAAAATGTACATATGCATATGAAGTTTTCAGTTTAGTCCATGCAAGAATTCACCAAAAATAGGAGGGAGGGAGCATAGATATGAATAGACTAACAGATGAGAGTTTCGTGCAGAGGGAAGATATGGAACCATAAACATGGAAGGGATCAAGTACTATAACACCCTCATTGATGCCCTCCTATTAAAAGGTTTGATAACAGCTTACACAAAAAAGGAACAAATTTATATAAATTCAGATATTTAAAAAAAGGTTAAATTAACGTACCATTGCATTTGTCGTGGGCAGACATTAAACCATTTGTCGTGCTGAATCATTTCGACATTCCTCAGGAACTGGAGAACAGATATAAAGCTTGGCTAAGTCCTGAACTGCAGTGAGTAGTAGTAAAAGATAGTACAGAGCATTTTATTGTTTCCAGTTCATGCTTTTACCCAATGAATTCTCACATTGCAAAATATCCTTTCAGGGAAGACTTTGGATATTTTGCAGATATTTGCTTCAAAAACTTTGGAGATAGGGTGAAGCATTGGGTAACCTTCAATGAACCAAATATGTTCATACCTTTAGGATACCGCTCGGGAGACTACCCACCTAATCGTTGTTCAAAACCATTTGGGAATTGCTCTCAAGGTGATTCGGAAAAGGAACCTTTCCTTGCAGGGCACAATGTCATTCTGGCTCATGCAGCCGCTGTTAATATCTACAGAACCAAGTACCAGGAAGAACAAGGTGGTCAAATAGGTTTTGCTGTGCATACATTTTGGTTTGAACCAGTAAGCAACTCCACCGCAGACAAGTTAGCAGCAGAAAGAGGCCAATCCTTCTTCTCAAACTGGTAAATACTTTCCCAATAAGATTCTCACCCCCCCCCCCCCCAAAGATCACCATTCTCCCAGTTAATACCTTCTTTTGTGAACCATAAGGGTCTGCTTGAAACCAGTAAATTGCCAAGGAAAAGAACATGTTAAAGTTAAAGAAAGATATTTGCCATATTCCAGAAGGACCTTCAAGGCAGAAACAAACCTATGTTTTCCCTACTAACCCATTTTGGAGAAAAGAGTCGTAACTTAATTATTACACGCAAAAGCAGGTTCTTGGACCCAATCATATACGGGAGATATCCTAAAGAGATGAAAGACATATTAGGATCGCTCTTACCGGAATTCTCAACAGAAGAGTTGGAACAGCTAAGAACAGGAATAGATTTCATTGCCGTCAACCATTATACCAGCTTCTATGTGCAAGACTGCATCTACTCAGACTGTGGGCCTTTAAAAAGCAATAACAAAGTAGAAGGTTTCATTGGAACAAGTTCATTCAAGAATGGCATCCCGATTGGGGAAGCTGTAAGTAGTTCTATGATCCGAACTGATATAGCTCACTCTCTCCATTACTTCAATGCTTTCCTAACATCAACCTTGGGAACATATTCACATTGTGTAGACAGGGATGGGGATCCTCTACGTTTATCCACAAGGAATGGAGAAAATAGTAACATACTTGAAAGAACGATATAACAACACACCACTTTATATAGCAGAAAATGGTAAGAGAAACAAGAAAGCATATGGCCATATCACATTTTTATTAAACATATGGCATTTCATATATGACTGAGATAGTACAACTCTTCAGGTTATAGTGAGAGAGCAGATTCACAATCAAACATTGAAGAATTGTTATATGATATCAAGCGTGTCGATTTCATGGCCAAGTATATTGATAGCCTTTCAACTGCCATGAGGTAAGAATGAAAAACAATAAAGACCAATGTATTTCAGTAACTAGTTGTTTATAGTTGTTTAATTAAGTTAAATACTTCTTACAGGAAAGGAGCAGATGTGAGAGGGTATTTTGCTTGGTCCTTGCTAGACAACTTTGAGTGGTTGTATGGCTACACCTTACACTTTGGGCTCTATCATGTCGATCGTGTCACGTTAAAGAGAACACCAAAATTATCAGCAAATTGGTACAAACAGTTCATTGCAGAACAAAAGAGAGCTGAAATCCCAGCACCAAAATTCTTGTAATGCAGGAAGAACAATTCAATGAATGTTGTTTATACTTTATAGCATTATACTTCCATTTTGTTACTCTTATAAGTGGGAGTTTAAAGTATTGATATGCACTGTAAGTTACTAAAAGGGAAATAACATTAAATTTAGAGTTGACTAGTTCAACTCAGCATACTGCCAATGTTGCAACTTTATTTCTAAAAAGATGCTACATAAATGAAATAAACTTACATCATTTACACGCATGCACGGACATATGAATTACATGATACATAACACATTTAAGTGAAATTTAAAAGCATATATGTTCATTTTGGGAGGCTGGGAGCTGCATCCAATAAAAGAAGTTGGGGGAGTAAACTGTAAAAGCAATGTGACAGATTATCTTTACACAGCTATGAGCTACCATCTAAAATTTGCCTGCAACTACACAACTCAAAGTCTCAAACTCACACCTTTTATATCTTTACTTGCACATCTTCTTGACTCTTTGCCTTTTCAATTCTTGAAAAGTTCATAAACCATCCCACCCTAGTCCACCAACCAACCAAACTCATGCAGCCGGACTCTGGTCACTATTGTCAGAATCTGGCCACAGCCTTAACCCATCCACCCTCAATAAATAAATAAATAGACCCTACAAGCAAGCAACAAGAGTCCAACACAAGGTGTTAAACCTTAGTTGATGTGGGACTTCATTCTCTATGGCTCCATGAGTAATGTTATCAACACGAACCATTGCACAACACTTTCCTCAAAAAGAAAAAGGTTTTGACATAGCCAGGTAATGAGGCTATTAACATCAACTACAAGAGTCATAATCTCCACCAGGGAGACCTGGCCTCATAAAGGTACTCTCCACCATCCCATGAAATTTCGCAAGCCTGAAGACCAACAGCAATACTAGGCTCCTTTCCATGTTGTGCAATCCACTCTTCAACAGCTAATGCTTTATCACTCTCACTTGCATATTCTTTTTTGTTATTTCCGTACGGGTTGCACCCGGGACTGTCCATCTCAGCCATAGCAGCAGGCATATACATTGAATCCCCCACTATAGGTGCAAAGCAGGCTGCTAATTGGGCACGAATCTGTAGGTTACAGCTTGCAATTAATGACAACAGTAACCATACAACAAAGAATAATTTCAAAATAAACCAAAACTTATTAAGCCTAAAGACTAGGCTCTCTTAGTTACTGACTTAGTCTCTTACTTCTCGTATTTATCCTATGTATTATTAGCTTTACTCTTATCTTGTTGTTAGAGTAGTTAGGTAGATCCTCCTTTTACTCCTTCTATTGTGTAACTCTCTGGCTATTTAAAGCCTCACCATTGTGATTATTATTAAGAAGAGGTCTACACTTTATATGGTATCAAAGCAGTATTTGTTTTAATCACCTACTTTTTCGATCCTCTCCACTACCCTCTTCTGCCATGGCTGTGGTTCCTCGTTCGGCATCCACAGCTCCGACCACTATCACGGCCGAAACACCAGTAATTCAAATTCATTCCAAAACTCATTTTCCAATCAAACTCCGTTCCACCTTGATCGGATACAATCTTCTAGGATATATCGATGGTTCCCGTCTGGCACCACCACTCCATACTGACACCACCCGCCTGGTGGTTAACCCCTGCCATTTTATCTGGTTCTGTCAGGATCAGGTGATCATAAGCGCACTTCTCGGTAGCTGTATCGACACTATTCAGCCACTGATCTCTATGGTCGACACTGCTGCGATCGCCTGGAGCAATCTCACATCTAGCTTTGCAAGTGCATCACATGGTCGTGTGGTGTCACTTAAATCCAAACTCTCCAAAAATCCACGCGGCACACGCTCTGTTCAAGAGTATCTCAATGGCATGCAATCTATAGCAAATGACCTTGCCTTGGCTCAACATCCGGTCCCAGAAATGGATCTTATTGTGCATGTTCTCAATCAAATGGGTGAGGAATATGACATTATCGTGCCTGCTGCTCGAGTCCGTGAGTCCAAACTTCAATTTACAGAACTGGGAGACATCCTTAAAGAACATGAGACAAAGCTAAAGACAGCAGAAGAATCCAAGCAAATCATAGTGGCCACTGCGCATGCAACCCAACGGTCCAATCCTGGGTCATGCGCACGCCAGTAGTCCTACGGGGGGCGTCGCACTAGTTCCCGTGAGGCCTATTCCAACCAGCAGCATGGACGTGATCAGCCGCCAGGTAGTGGATCATCTGCGTGCCGCTTCTGTCAGATTCCGGGGCATACTGTACAGGTGTGTCGCAAGCTTGCAAAGTTTTTAAAGGAGAATGGACTCTCTATCACACAACCACCTTTAGTCAATGTTGCTACTGGTGGACATCCCTCGCTCAATCAGTGGATGTTTGACAGTGGTGCTAGTCATCACACAAGTTCGAGTCTTGCTCCGCTTTAGGCCTTCTCCGATTATGGGGGTCCCGATGAGGTCCGCTTGGGTGATGGTAAGGGGTTACGAATTACTCACGTTGGTCATACTACCATTCCCACACCCACTTCCACTTTACAATTATCTAATGTTCTAGGTGTTCCTCAGTTACAAAAAAATCTAGTATCAGTCTCTCAACTATGCCGTACTAACAATGTTTCGGTTGAATTTCTTTCTGATTCTTTTTCTGTGAAGGACCTGAAAACGGGGGTGCCTCTTCTTTGAGGTCGGAACGTTGATGGCATCTACTATACAAACTTGTCCAAGTCTCCCTCCATTCATGTCTCCACAAGCATCTCCTTGACCGCGTGGCATCACCGGTTGGGTCATCCTTCCAATAAAGTGTTACAAGCTATGTTGGCTATGTTAAAAGTTCCAGTTTATCCTACTCAATTTGATTCCTTTTATTGTAACGCGTGTCGTATTTACAAGAGTCACAAATTGCCTTTTTTTAATAATACTCTTGTTAGCTCTACTCCGCTCCAATTGTTATACAGTGATGTCTGGAGTTGGAAAAATTCCTCTCTCGATGGGTTTACTTCCTATGTGATTTTTGTTGATCACTACACTAAATATATCTGGTTATACCCATTAAAACACAAATCTGATGTGCTACATGTTTTCTCTCAATTCAAAAATTTAGTTGAAAAGTTCAACAAACCTATTCGCTCTATTTACTCTGATAATGGTGGGGAATTTGTTAAATTAAAGCCTCTGTTAACTAAATGTGGCATATCTCATCTTACAACTCCTCCCCACACTCTAGAACATAATGGTGTTGCTGAAAGGCGGCATAGACATATTGTTGAAACTGGTTTAGCTCTCTTAGAGTCTGTGAATCTTCCATCCTTATTCTGGCCAGAAGCTTTCCAAACTGCCGTCTACCTTATTAATCGGCTTCCCACACCTGTTCTCTGTGGGTCTACTCCGTATATGGCTCTCTTTCTCCAACCACCCAACTACGCCAAACTCAAAACATTTGGGTGCCTCTGCTATCCGTGGTTGCGCCCTTACAACACCTCCAAAATTCAACCCAAGAGTACTCCATGTGTCTTCCTAGGATACTCTACCTCCCAATCAGCCTATCGGTGTCTTGATCCTCAAACAAACCGGGTTTACCTCTCCCGACATGTTACATTTGTAGAACATGTCTACCCCTTCACTTTTCTCTGTCCTAGTCCCTCTATCCCTAAACCGTCTCCAGACCCAGTGCCCAATCTTGTGATACCAGTGTCCTCCTCTTCCTATCCTACCCAACCAGTGTCCACTGTCAGCCAACAACAGTGTCCATCTAGGGGCAGCACTGTCTCCTCATCATTGCCAGTTACTGCATGACCACTTCCGTCCCTGCCTTCCCCAACTACATCTTCCACTGACTCGGCTGTTGCTTCTCTCCCTTCACGTCCAACTCGTCTCAAACGTCCCAACTCTCGCTATCTTGGGCCTGAGTTTGTGGTCTCCACTGTCACTACTACATCTAAACCTGTCCCTTCCACTGCAGCCTTTCCGCTTCCGCTTCCACTCGAACCACGCACCATCACTCAGGCACTCAAGGACTCTCGCTGGAGACAGGCCATGGATGATGAATACGCTGCTCTCCTTAAAAATCAAACCTGGACCCTGGTTCCACGAACAGGGAGGACTCCCGTTGGTTGTAAATGGATTTTTTGAGTCAAGCGTAAGCCGGATGGGTCTGTCGATCGGTTCAAGGCACAACTAGTGGCAAAAGGTTACCTTTCACAATTCGGTCGAGATTATTCGGAGACTTTTAGCCCCGTCATGAAGCCAGTTACTATTCGGGCTGTGTTGATAGTGGCTTTAAGTCGAAACTGGCCTGTTCGTCAACTTGATGTGAACAATGCATTTCTTCATGGCACGTTATCTGACGAGGTGTTCATGGAACAACCGCCTGGATACATTAACTCTGAGTTTCCCTCTTACGTGTGCAGATTACAGAAGGCAATTTATGGGCTGAAGCAGGCACCTCGTGCCTGGTATCTAGAGTTGTCCTCGTTTCTAGTTGCATTTGGCTTTACGAAGACGAGGTCGGATGCTTCACTTTTTGTTTACTCTCGTGGTGATGTACTGGCTTACTTCCTAGTCTATGTGGATGACATCCTCCTCACTGGGAACTCGCCTATCTTTCTTGATCGATTTCTCAAGTTACTCTACCCTTTTCTCCTTGAAGGACTTGGGGGCACTACATCACTTTCTCTGGGTTGAGGCCATCTCTGTTCCAAAGGGTTTGTTTTTGTCCCAAGCCCAATATATTTCAGATATCTTGCAGCAACATCACATGGATGAGGCTAGACCGGTTTCCACCCCCATAGTTCCTCGGTCTGTCTCGCCCGCTGCCACTCCTACAGAATATGTTGATATCACTGCCTATCGTCGATTATTGGGGCAGCTTCAGTACATAATGATTACTCGACCGGACATCTCTTTTGCCGTAAACAGACTTGCTCAATTTATGCATTCTCCGAAATCTGAACATTGAGTTGCTCTAAAGCGTGTGCTTCGGTACCTCAAGGGTACCATCTTTCATGATTTATTTTTAGCCCGCGGCTCTTCCCTCTCACTCACCGCATTCACTGATTCTGACTGGGGTGGAATTCGTGATGGGGGGCGTTCTACAACAGCTTTTGTTGTCTATCTTGGGTCCAATGTAATCTCTTGGAAGTCTACTCGGCAAAAGTGTGTCTCGCGATCATCCACCGAAGCTGAATATAGGGCCCTCGCTCATGCCACAGCAGAATTTCTTTGGATGTGCAATCTCCTCACAGAACTTCGGCTCCCTATCTCAGTTCCTCCGCACATATACTGTGACAATCTCAGTGCAACCTATTTTTGCAAGAATCCAGTTTTCCATTCCCGTATGAAACATCTTGCGTTGGACTATTTTTGTGTGTGATCTGGTCACAGCCTCTCATCTTCATGTACATCACATTTCTACTAAGGATCAGGTTACTGACCTACTTACTAAACCATTGGGTGGTGAACTTTTTCTCAAGTTTCGGTCCAAGATCGGTGTTTCTGACCGCACGCCCATCTTGCGGGGGGGTATTAAGCCTAAAGACTAGGCTCTCTTAGTTACTGAATTAGTCTCTTACTTATTGTATTTATCCTATGTATTATTAGCTTTACTCTTATCTTGTTGTTAGAGTAGTTAGGTTACTTAGGTAGATCCTCCTTTTACTCCTATTGTGTAACTATCTGACTATTTAAAGCCTCACCATTGTGATTATTATTAAGAAGAGTTCTACACTTTATAAAATATTTTTTACTACGTGTTTGTTTTGCTCACCAAATAACCTAAGAAGATAAGCTTATATAATAGAAGCCCACAAATTGATTTATTGAGCTTTTCTTCAATCTATTGTTTGTGTCCTATCTACACTTAAAAGCCACAAAACATGTTTGGTGTGGGATTAGATTTTCGTTCTACTTTGGAGTGGATGCACTCAGCACTCCAAAACATGTCCCAATAAGCTTTTTTTCATTCCTAACCCTTGTTCCTGCATGTAACTTTCTTCAATATGAAATATATCGACTTCCAGTCTGGCTACCCTAAGGTCATGTTCCATGATTTGCAAAGTTTGTCTTGCAATATCAATGTAATGGACATGACAACAGAAAATATATCAACTAAACACCGGTGTCAAGGCAGTCCATGGCCAATGGAGCTATAGAAGTCATTATTGACAATATTTTAGTATTGGGAACATAATGGACTATCAAAATAGCATATTAAACTTCCCTTGCTTCTTACTTTTTTATGACATTTTGGGAAGTAAATGCAGTAATGTGTCTAGTGTCTAACGAAAGCAGTCTCTTGTTTTTCAGGGGTAAGACTGTGCATCTTTACCCCCAAATACCAATGGAGTTGGGAAACTTGGGGTTATAATGAATTTGTTGTAGTTGTTGTAATCACTTGTCTGGCGGTCTCATGATATTTTCCATACATTTAGAAATAGCCTACGACAATGACACTTTTAGATAGTTCATCTCATTATTCCTTATGAAGGTTGTGACACCTTATGAATGTGGTGACATGAAGGCCATTTGGTGTAAAGCATTGCCACATTGCTTTTTGCATGAGTTTATAGTATTATTTAATTTTATACTTAAACTTTAAAGCCAATGACTCCAACTAGTTGGGATTAAGGTGGTGGAGAATGTTGAATCTGCCCCCTAGCTATAAGTATTTTCCACAATTACTCCACTTTAAGGCGTTTAAGGTAGTGGGTGTGCGAATGTGGCTTTTTAATTATTACTCCCCCCGTCCTACAAAAAAGTTCCAAATTTCATTTTATGTCCGTCCTAAAAAAAGGTTTCATTCTCCACTATTTAAAAATTTTTTGTGGCTCATATTAGTTCTCTCCTATGCACCACTTTCAACCCCACAATTTCGCCTCTCTATATCTCTATAGAAAATTTTTGCATGACAGATGGAGTACCATTTTCTTCCCAAGACTTAAATGATGTGTTGTGGTTAAGAAAATAGGGATTGCCAGGGACCCTTTACTTGTACAGGGAAAACAGACAATTGTTTTTCTTGCCTCCAGGAAACTAGTGATGTTGAGCATTAAGTCACACATTCAAGACCAAGAACCACTTTAAATATGCATAAAGCTACATACTTTTCTGCATGTGAATATGCTTTGGGTTGAACTTAACATTGAATTAATTATGAGGATACAACATTTTCTTTTTCGCAAAAACATATGGTCATATTTAACAAGACTATTGAAACTACAAGCTAGTTTATCGCAAATGTGTTACATCTAGAAGAAAAGGAAAAAAGAAAAGATATACTCCCTCCGTCCACCATAGATCTTCCCGGACAGTGGACACTATTCACAACTCACTTTGTTTGCTTATTTTTACTACTCATTTCATAAAATAATATAGTCTTGTCCCCTCTAGTTTTGTAGGACTTTTTATGTAGTTTTTTACTATATAAACTTTATTTTTAAATTTTACTCCTATAATCAAATAAATTGAATTGAAAATAAAGTCAGTCAAGCCTCGTAATGCGTAATGGGAAGATCTTAGGTGGACGGAGGGAGTAATAAAATAGAAATATCATGCAATAAAACATGGAAGTATACACATCATGGAACCAAGAAGTAAGAATGACAAGAAAAAAGTAAAAAGAAAAAAAACAGTGTACCTGATGAGTTCGACCAGTCACAAGGTTAACTTTACATTCAAATGCAAAATCCTTTGAGTGGGCTCCACAATCGTAAATACCATATTCCCTTTCAATTGAACTTCGGGGCCAGGGTATCTTCTTGCATTCCAAGACCTCAAGTTTGCACATTTGCCATCCTTTTACAAACTCTGCAATGCATGGTAAGGATTTGATTTGATAATACTGGATGCAAATGCTGAAATTATGGATACGAAGCACATGTAAGATGCTTTGATCATTTGATCTTAAATGTTCTCTTTCAATGTTCTTAATACAGCAATACTTTGACAGTCGAAGAATGATAAATGTGTCTTTATAACTCAACGCCATCGATATCAGCAGAAATGGAAAGAGTTCATCAGATAATAAGATTTAAGGACGATATGCTGGATGAACTTTTGATTCTCTTATCATTAGATCTAGTTATATGACTATTTCAAGAAATCTGTCTCCGAAAAGTCAAGCTTGTAATGACAGGATTCATACCGTCAGAAATTATTCTTGGGGCTGAATTAATAGGACGCATGTAATGTGTCATTATTCCGATTGGAACAGGAGCTATGGCAAGAGCAAGATAAAGCTTTTTCACCTTTTTTTCCTGACAACAAAATTTACATTCAATCCAAGATAGAAACAAAAAAGAAAAGGAAAGACCAAAACTCAATTCATTGTTTGAAAATGGAATTTTTAAAATCTCCTACTACCAAAAGTGCATCATCTAAGGTTTTGTGAATATCACTTTGAATAACTGGTTTATGATTTGGAATATAGATCAACTAACCCTAATTTTTCCATGGAATACCGAGCAGTACTCCTTTGTTCGAGCCAACACAACACTGAAAAAATATGAAAACCCATCTTTGATCTTCAGTTTTCACATCAAAGAGAAATAACAAAACATATAACTTAAATTAAATGCAAAAATATACCATCCTTCAGTACAATTATCAATCTGATGGGTAGTGAGCAAAGGAGTTGTTAATCCTAATGCACGAGTAGCAAATGTAGCACAACTTTCTTCAATGTTGTCTGTTGTTCCTCCGACCTAACAAAGTTGATAGAGTAGTGAATAAAAACTAAAAAGTGACAGAGTTTCCTAAGAGAGTGAAATCCGATTAAACATGAGAATCACAGTAAAAGGTCAAATAAGCTGATGAATTAGTTACCCGTATTAATCAAAACTCCTTTTCAATAGATAAAGGGATTGAAGAGAGTGACAAAATTATGGTGAAGATTAGAGATTCAATTTTCATTCTAATCAAAGATCACTTATTTTCAAATATGTTCCAGCAGCCATATTACAAATTTCAATTAGATTATTAACATCAAGATCTCTCATTCAAGTATGATGTATTATACATACAGATGTACCCGCAGGTTTGTCCAAAACCACATAGTTTTCAGCCACAATAAGAATTCTAGACTTCCAATTGATCTCATAGCACCTGTCATAATTTAAAAAAAGCCCATAATGTTACTAAGCTTCAAAATAGAGAAATGGCCAACTTCAACAGCATGCATACTGTTAAATAATTACCTAGGAAAGCGTTTTGGGTGTACATGCACCCGCAGGTAAGTTCCAGGTTCAAGGATGTGGCGAGCAGAAGTAATACGGAAAGTTTTCTGTGCTTCCCTAAATGTTTTACCTTTAACCGAGGCTCTCTTCTTTAAAACTGATGGAGCAGTAACTTCTTCATATAAACGAATCTGCTCAGATGTTGCAGTGGGAGGTGGCTTTGGACATACTAACGCATAATATACAGCTCCGAAATGAATAAGGTCTGTCACATATCTTTACAATTGAGATGGCATTACTGCTTTAAACACCAATCTTATCAATGCTAGATTAAAACAAATGCAGCAATTAGTAATGCTACTAGAGCACATGGTAAAGAGATATATCACATACAGTTGAGGCAAATCCAATGCTTCACTAATGTACTCCATGACAGGCCCTTCCCTCATAACAACTAAGTGTTCAACTCTGGGTGGGAAATTCTGTGAGGGGCAAGGAAGCAAACGCTCATATTTAATGGCCCTGAAACAAATTCCAGACAAATAGTTAGATTTTTAAAAAATGACACCCTAACCTTCATATCAAACTCGAAATAGAATCAATAGGGTAAATAAGTGTGGTACACCGTCTCCGGGTTGATCAAAGTATTTACCATTCAAATAGAGCTTAGATGAACACTTTACAAACGAATCAAATTCAAACAAGCTACATTATATTACTGCTTAAATAGTTCAAAAAAACTGGAATCGTGATCTAAAACGCATGTACCAGGAAGCATTTTAAACGGGAATGAAGGAATACCGATTAGAGGAGGCAGAGCAAGAAGCGTCTATGGAATCAGAAGAGGCAGATGATGCAAAACTTAAGCTTCTGATCCGAGCAAAAATTCCCGATCTTTGCCGGAGATTTTTTACGAGGCGGCAGCATGAACGGACAACCGGAGGCGACGAGCATTTTGGCCAGCTTGGAGTGCATATAATTGAATGAACCCTGAAGCGATTGAAGATTGAATTGATGCTCGCCATTTTTTGTGGTTTTGCAGAGGTTTTGTAAATTTTTAAGCGTTCGGAATTCAGACCTACACTCTAACCAAGCTACTCCGTATATGTTTTTCTTAATTTAGACATACAGTCAATTTAGCATGTTTTTATTTTCCAATGTAGGATCATTTGTAATTATCTATTAGTTATTATTCAACTAAATATTCAGCATCACTTGGACATTATTCTTCTCACTAGTCATTATTAAGTCCTATTTTGGGAATAAAAAAGTTTAAGTCCTATATTGGGAAATGACTTATGTTTTAGTCTTATTCCGTTCCGTTAATATTTTTGTTTTTTTCTTCTTTTTTTTGGAAATTTCATTTTTAAAATTAAAATTATTTTGATAATGTTCTATTAATAATTTAGTAGATCGACTAGCTTTTTATAAAAATATTGAACTCTTATTTTGATATTTTATCTATGTTATACTCTTATTTAGAATAATTTCTAATTAAATTATCATCAAAAACCTTAAATATATACGAAACAAATTTAAAATGAGTAAACCCAAAATAGTTAATAGATAGATAAATAAAATAAGATATTTCAAAAGTTAGGGACGAATGGAGTATGGCATATTTAATGCATAGTACATATCGATAGTTAGAGCAATCCCAAAGATAATAGATAAATTGAGAAGGTATGTTGTATACTCCGTATTTTCCTTTTCAAAAAGGTAAATATATAAGTTCTAAAAGGTAAAAGTTGTCAAGAAATGAAAGTAAATGGAGAGGTAAGTTGAGGTTTGTTAGCTTTGTTTCTTCTTGATTGTTTTTTTAAAATTTAAAAACTTCATAAAAATCTAAGATCTTGAAAAAAATTAAATGGTCAATTGGAAAATAATCAAATATACCTTGTGTCCAATTCAGCGTGTAAAATTATTAATACAAAAGTAGAAAAAATTTTAAAGAGAGAAAATTAAAAAGGAAATAATCCTCATTTATTATCATTGACTCGTTAAGTTTTACAACCTACAAAAACACATAACTAAAAGTTTCCAATAATATGTTCACGCATAAATACAAAACAAAATACAATAAATAAAATAATTGACAAAAATTTGTTAAAAGGTATGAAAATAAATATAGCTTCCTGATGGATTATTGAATCCATGGATAAAAGAAAAGGAGAAAATGTGATTATTTCTTAAATTTTAATACATGTTGGGCACTCCAGTGTGTTGGGACTATGGAGTGTAATTTTTAAATCTTTATCTATACAATGGTGGGAGGGGAATTTCTACAGTATTCTCGCCAAAACATCTTGGCCGGGTATTGGGCTGCAATCTGGATCGGGCTGCGTGAGTGGGCTATTGCGTCTGGCCCAAAAAAATCCTTTACATAAGTAGAGAATTTCTTGAATAATGTGAGCACCTTTATAGGGAAGAGTAAGCATACTTTACACCCCAAAAATTATTACTGTCATTGGTAACTTAAACTATCTTTTTTAACATGTCAATTCAAAGATAATCAATCACTTTATGTCTTTTCCAAATTAAATAAATAGATTTTCAAAATCTTTAAAGTTGGATGGTATTTACTGCATTGGAAATGCTTGGTTCACAAACTCAAACTTCACAAACTTACCATTTGTGAACTTCAATAAAGAAAATTAAATAGTCTAAAATAATTTTAAAATGAGAATTTAAACCATAAATAGTAAGTTTGTGAAGTTTGTGATCTTTCTGTTTGTGAACGTAACATTGCCCTTACTGCATTACTTGAGTTGTGCTTTATTTCAATGGTATTCATAGCACTTCATCTTGCAAGGTTATAGCACTTCATCTTGCACGGTAAAAAGTGTAAAGATGTCCAAATCAGGGTACAACCCCCACAATAAATGTAATACATTTAGTACAAAGCTCATTATAAATAGATCCTTTATATATATAAAGCATAGTCGGAGCTATAAGAACATGACATTTGGCAGAGCTAAAGCACGACATGTGGTGAGCTGATGTGGTGACATTTGGCAAAGTTAAAGCGCGACATGTGGCGAGCTAATACGTCACCTTTTTAGACAAACCGATCGGTTTGACCGGTTTGACCAGTTCTTTTTTTGCAATTTTTTTCCAAAAGCATACCACCATGAGGTTTGAAACAAGGATCTCTTGGTCATTTAGTTGAGTTCCTAACCATCCAAGCTAGGGTGCTTTTTGTTATAATCTCACTTAAGCTTTTATAATGTTTCATAATTAAAAAAGGATTGTATAAAAATTTCTTTTTAGTTATAAAAAATATAATCCTTTAATATAATATTTGAGACTCTGTTTGCTAAAAAGTCGCCAAAAGACAAGCTTATGTGGGCTATATTAAGGTGAGTTTTGAATTTTGAAATCTCCAGATATCTTTATCCTTTTCTGGTGTTTGGTGAAGCTAAAAGAGTTATCAAATTTAATATCTGCAGATATCATAAATCTTTAAAATTGATGGTCTGAGTATCTCTCGAATTTGGGAGATATCAATACGGGGGTTTGATATCTCTCTCAAGTATCGATCATTCTTCGTCACTCGCTACCATTATCACTGCCAACCACTCCCGTTGTCAGTCATCTTTTCTTACCACTAATTAAATCCTGAATTTAAATCTCTCCAAATAAAATCATTTCAGATTACAAAGTCAATATCATTTCTATGAGTTTTCATAACCCACATCTTATAATATCTCCAAAATTCACCAAATTGGCCCTAAGCAATTAATAAGATATTTCTTCACTTCTAAATAAATTTCATATTTTTATGATATATTTAAACCGAAGCAGTCAGTTTGATTATATTTATTAAAATATGAGAAGATTAAAAAAATTTATTTTAAAACTACAATGAAACTTTATAAAAATGTAAAGATTAGAAAATAAATTGTTAAAGCACGTAAAATATATTAGACTTTTAAGTTGTT